GGGTGTGAAGTACCCCAAAAGGGATGAAGTTGTGCTGCCAGCAGCACCTTTGTATCGTCTCAGCTGACTGCCCAAGGACAGGTTCAGCAAGGATGTGCCACCCAAATAAGGGGACACAGGTAGCTAATGGACAGAGGCAATGAGCAGGGCTGACTACCACAGAAGCAGGTCTTCGCCCATATCCCAGACTCACTCCCCTTCCCCACTTCCTCCACATCATGCAGAGCTAGGAAAACCAAAGTAGCAGCAAGCTTCCCCTCAGTAGGGAAGAGATTCCCTGTCTCAGGGCTGTAGCATCACTGCCAGCCTTCTGGATGGAGTAGAGATAACCTACAGGTCCTGACCGACTCACTAGCCATTCTCTTTCCTAATGCTGCCTGAGAGCCACAGCCAACGGCATAACTGCTGGGGTGAGCCCAATACAGCTCCTGCCCTAGCAGTACCCATCTCCCAACTTCCTTATCCACTTCTGTGAGGCCTTTCTGTTACTCAAGGCAGAGGAAAACTAAGGCTATTTCTACAATGCCATCACAATTCTGTCCGCAGCAGTTACTGCGAAGTACAGGAGACATAACTGAGCTAGCTCAGATACTGGCAACAGCCTATGTGTGGCAGCATGGCACACAATGTGGGCTAATTCAGGGCTCTCCAGCTTCTGAGTGGCCAGAGACTGCATGCCAGGTGGGCTATGATCTCCTGAGTCATGAGCTCTCAGGCTTCAGGCCATGTGAGCCCTCCATTGCCATGCAAGCAGGTCCCTGGCCCTTGCAGGCTCTCTCACCCAACCCCAGAGTAGGTGCAGGAAGCAGAAGCCAGAGGAGGGATAGAGAGGCCAGGGACTTCAGTGGCAGCAGCAGCAGCAGCAGTGGAGGGGTGGCAGCTGGGCAAAAGCCTGCAGGCTGCAAGTTGGGTGCAAGTTGGGCACCTTTGTGTTAATTTATCCAGCTTCTCAAAAGATTTTGTAGCCTCTGCCAGCTCTGTCTTGCCACAGCTAGACTGCATCTGTTACCTAGATGAACTTGGATACAGCTACACTGTCCATTGCTATAATTACAATATAGATATACCTGCTATTAGGTCCATCAGTGATACTCATCCTTGACATCAGGGATGAAAGGAGGCTGAAGTGGTTGAACAGGATATCATCACGAAGGCTGCAATCACTGAGGACAAAGACCCAAGACAGGAAGAGAACAGGGAGACAAGCAGTTGGGAAAGGGGCAGTCACTGTATTCTAATGGACCAAAAGGAAAAAAAAAAAAAAAAAGAGGCAAAAGTGACATCTGATGCAAGACTTCCATGACTAGATGGCAGGGAGTTGGACTAGATGACCTGAGGTCCCCTCCAATCCTATGATTCTATATTGCTCCCAGTCACTTGTGCAACACTGTATATACCCCATATAGCTTAGTCTTTTCCTTTCACCAGAAGGCACCCTGTGAAGTTGACCTGCTGTTCACAACTCCTTTAAAAGGCACTCATCCTTACTGTTGGCAGGGAACTCCTGAAGACAGAATGGAGGGAAGTCCTCCTACAAAGAGAGTCATTAGAGCAGAAGCTGACTTGTGCTATTCAATAGTTCTGAAGAAATACAGGGCGACTTGAATCACTTTCCAAAGCAGTAAGAGGAAGCCCCTGCTCCTGAACTGTTCACATCTTCAAACACAAGCTCAGAACCAAAGAGAAGGGCCCTTCAGAGCAAAAGCAAAGAGTTTTCACCTCTTCTGTTTAAAAAGAGGAAAACAAATAAAGTAAACAAAATGTATACACTCCCATGGTTACATCCTCAGTAAAAACAGAGCAGCATGGCTTGCCATGTCCTTCATCTAATAATGGACTCACCTTTACACTTGCAACTGCAGACATTGTGCGCGTTTGTTTTAAAATGTGCACAGAGGAGTAATCAAACATCAGTGCTTTCTCAGAGCTATGAAAGCCTTAAAGGGCAGCCTGCTCCTCTCTCTCCTGTACTTGGATGCCCAACAACTAGCACCTGCCATTCACTTAAGAGCTCCTCTGAGTATGCAGCAGAATGGAAGTGAGCACTTACTGATGCCCATCTACAGGCTGCCTGTTTGAGCAGCTAGAGGCTTTGAAGCTAAAAGCCTCCTTTCCTTCCCCCAAGTGCAGCAAACAGCACTGTGCTGCTGGCTGAAAACAAAACACATAGTGAATGGATGCTGGCTAAAGACCCCATCCAAAGCCCATGGAAGGCAATAATAATCTTTGCACTGACTTCAGTAAACTTTGGATCAAGGCCTTTGTTAGGATATTTGACTAAAGGCTGGTTTAAGCCTGGCTGCAGGCCTGGTATGCAAGGTTGGGTATGTTGTGGCATGAATCCTCCCCTAGCGGGCACACACTCTAGCTCAGTTACAGTTCCTGTTCTCCTAAAGCACAGGGACTGCTCCATTCCAGTGCAAACCACAGCACACAGCACTCCCCAGGACAAGTGGCTTGAGGGCTGGTGTAGGCCAAATACACTACTTGTGTGGTATGTGTGGCAACAGTTGTGCGTCCCCCCAAATGCTGAAGGTTGGAATCCTCCTGTGGCAGTGAGGCTCCATCATCCCCAATATGGCCCAGTGCCCAACAGTATCAGCCACCCCAAGGGTTCAGCTGTGCCTCATCCCTGCTATACTTCCAGAAGCCACGGCCACCATCCTCCCAACATCTAAGCAAGGGCAGGCCTTAGTTCCCAGCTCTCCCTAACTCTAGCTACTGATGTCCCAGCACCCATAGCCTGCCTGCTTCACCTCATAATTCTTTCAATTAGCCTCAGTAATTCACTCATTAATCCCTCAGAGCACCCAGTTAGTAGCTCCACTGACTCTGCACCTTGTAGCCACAGTAACTCTTTCACTGCCTCAAACTGATCACCCCGATCCCCTGTCATGTGGGCTGGTGCACTGTGTAATGAATTCTTGGCCCTAATGATTTCTTCACTACACCTGCCATTTTCCTGACCTCTTTGCATTGTTAATTCCCTGCCTAATTATTCAACTCTACCTGATTAATTCCTTGACTGTTTGTTTGATCCTCTACTTCATTACTGATGTTCTGCTCAACTGAATGACCCATTGCACAATTGATTTGCTGCCTAGTTGATGAATTAAGCCACTGCTTTAGTGGTTTCTCTACTCAAGTAATTGGGAGCAAGTCAGCAGGGTGATAAACCAATCAGATCAAGGATCACAATGCCCATTCTCTGCTGTATGGTTTATTGCTTCGCTCACCCTTCCTTTCCCTTTCTTTCCCATCTTTCCCTTTGCTCCTCCTGTTGGCTCCATCTCCCCTACAAACCCACATTCCACAAATTCTGGCCTTATCTGGCCTGTCCTGGCTGCTCCCTCCAGCCCTGCCCTTCCACACCCGACACCCCCCCAACATCAGTTTCATTCTATTAGCTCCTGCCTTGACAGTCCTCCCTCCAGCCCGTTCTGGGCCTTCAGTCCATCAGTGCCATCCATAAGCTCGTCTCCCATTATCTCTTTGAATCCCTCCCCCTGCAGCCATGCTCTCCAAACACAACCCTCCATTCACATCCTTTCCTTCCCTCCTCACCCCCACCATGCTCCCAAGTCATCCCCAGCATACAGTGATTAGGGGTGCTAGACTTCCCTTCCTTGTTAGTTTTAACTGCTCCCATATTCCTTTCCACCTCTTTTTGCTTTAGCTCTAAAACTTCCTGGAAATGGTCAAACTCATGGTTCTGGCATAAGCATCCTGGGACCAGCATGAACACACCTGTCGCTGATCAGACCACACTCCCACACTGTCCTGCACTAGAGGCAGAGACACCCAGTACAACACAGATTTCTGCATTTGCTATGCATCTGTTGAGGATTATTGAGTTACACTTCGATCCGCCAGGAAGGTGGCAGGCAAAGTTTGATGCAAGTTCAGCAGCTGGGACCCTGTAAAGGTTTGAACCATGATGTATACAGACAAAGGGGCAGCATTTCTTTGAACTGTGCAGCTCTCATCCAGTTTTGGAATACTTGGCCACACAACTTTACTGTGGCAACTATGTGCCCTGGAGCTGGATCTCCCAGTGCTATGAGATGCCAAAGAGGAAGGAAACCTTGGTGAGGGGTGTTGTCATAATGTTTTTCTATCTATGTAAATCTCCCCATACATAACATTGGGTTAAGCCCCCCTGTTATAGAAGTGCTGATGCTTTTGGCAGAGCACTTTCTACTTTGAGAAAGGCAGGGGCAGAGCAAGCACATTCAGTGCTCTGGGCAGCAGGTTGTCAGTAGGGACAGACATACCAACTGCTAGGGGTGGGGAGGGAGAGGGAAGGAAAAGGAAGGGAAGCCTTACCTGCCTGGGCTCTCCACTGCCGCTGTAGCAATATTTGCTCTGGCAGCAGCAGCCCTATGGCGCAGGCTTCCTGGGAGCTGCCGGGTTCCCATTTGCTCCTCCCACTCCAGATATGCTTTTGAGTGCAGGGATGCACCTGCTAGGGCAAGGACTCCTGGGCTAGGGAGAAAAGCACCATTCCATTCATCTCCCTTGCCCCCTACCCACAAATGCACTGTTCCTATGGCTGGGCAGCACAGGACTTTCCCTGCTGTAACAAAAATTTCCAAGGAGATTCTGGTGCTTCCTCATAACTGGCACCCAGGGCTAGTACCCCACTCACCTCCCCCACCTAGTTACGCTACTACACAAAAAAGGGGATTTGGAAGTCTTCAGGAATCCAAAGTAGCCTTCAGCTGTCACAACAGTTTGAGAGGGGGGATGGCCTCTGAACTGCAGAATCATCAGCTCTAACAGAGACGAGGCTACCTTTTCCTACCCAGTATGGGCTGGGGCTGAGAGAAAGATAGGTCTATTGACTGTATAGAAACTCTAGTGAAAAAAAAAATCCAGAACTGTTAGTGTGGAGTCCAACAAACTCCATTTCCTTGTAGGCAATGGAGATTTAAAGTCCTCAGACCATCCTCCAGCAAGCGTGGGTGTATTTATACATACACCTCTCCCATGTCACATACCTTCTCTCTTCATACCCATAGCCAGGCATTTCTGATAACGGCAGTACTGGCAGCGGTTACGCTGACGCTTGTCTATTAGGCAGTCTTTGTTATCGCGGCATGTGTAGATAAGGTCCTTTCTTATTGTCCTCTTGAAGAAACCTTTACAGCCCTCACAGCTGTATACCCCGTAGTGCTTCCCTGAGAACACAAGTAGTCACAAATCGGTACGTTTTTCTTGCCTTCCTAAGCCCAAGATGCACATAGCCCAATGAACATTTTAAATAAGATGAATGGGGGAGGTGCTTGGAGGGGATGTGGGGATTGGTATTCAAATCACTAGAATTTTTTAGCCAGCAGAAGTGATTTTGCCAGCCTTGTCCTCATCCATTAATGTGCATAGTATGAAACCAGCATGCACAGTGGCAGCTTTCAGGGGAAAGATGGGACAAGTCAGGGTGCTAGATTAGAGTGGCCATGTATTAGTATCATATGGGAACATGCTATTGGCAAAACAGCAAATACTGCAGGGCAAAACTGAGGTACAGTGTCAGGAATTTGGGGGTCTCAGAAGAGGCCATAGGGGCAAGGTAGAGGTGTGCTGGCAGAGTGGTCTGGAGGCCACAGAACAGAAATTATGAGAGGCATGGTACATGTCAGTACTTAGGCGTACTGGCAAAACCCAGCCCAAGACAGAAACAACAGATAGTGCTACAAATTGGGGACAGAGTGCATGAACAGGGCTGTGTGGAACAAATTTACAAAACAAAACCAGTAAGACCTTTGTGTTCATATTCACTAGCCAAATCCCTCAGCAAATGTCTTTAGTATTGATTTGCATGCAAGCATGGCTCTGGAGAAAGGGAAGTGGAAGGAGGGGGCAGGATTCCTTCACTTAATGATTTCCTAGAGAACGGGATTTTCATACCTGATGATCTGTCCCCACAGATAGCACAGATGTGTTTGGTCAGGGATCCTGGGCTTGTAGATGGATAATTCATGTTTCCAATTCCTGGGAGGCCTGGTAAGGGCTTGATGTCCTCAGAGCTGCTGGTATGGTTCATGACATTGAGCTTTAAAGAGAATTTCCAAAATGTTTTATCATCATTATTTAGAATTTATAGTGAAACAGCACACACAGATGCAGAGCCAGGAACGAACTCCATTTGGAGTAAGACGCATTCTCTGTTAGAGCTGCTCACAAATTTTGTAGCAAAAGTGTTTTCATAAAATCACCCTTTTTTAAACACTTTTAAAAAGTTTATATTGTGAATTTCTCATAAAAATCTCACCACATTTTATTACAACCGATTACAGGACAATTCCATTTTACAGCACTTTAAGAGCTTTCAAAAACCTATTTTTATTTTGCATTAGAATACAAACAAAACCTGTCAGCTGTCTTTACTTTGGGAAGGTATCAGAGTCCAGACTTCTCTGAACTGAGCAGAGTAGGGACCTGAATGGGAGGGGAGGGTCTCATACTGCCAGCTAGTTCTCTAAGCTCAAGAGTGATAGAGGAACACCCTGTTTTCTCATTGGAAGGGACTTGGGAGGGCTGGGCCCAAGTAACTTCCAAGTGAAAGCTTGGTAAAGACAAATAAGGCTCTGCAAAATGTTTCAACTTGTAATGAAATACCAGAGTTCACTGATGTCTGATCGGATCCAAAGTGTTCCAAAGAGTTCCAAAATGATCAATTTTTTTTGATCAAATAATGTTTTGGTAAAAATAGGTATCAATAACAACAACAGCAACAATATACATCATGGATGGATGGATAATTAAAATTTTTCAAAATGGATGCATGTTTTAAGAAAAATAACAATGAAATAGTTCATGAAGCTGAAACTAAAGATAAGAATTTATCACAGTCAAAGGGGTGTTACCAGACATCAGACACTCCTCAGTTATTACCCACGTGCATGTTCTTACCCACAGTAAGTGGAAGCTACACCACAGCGACATACCTTTCTTCACACAGTTATTCTGAATATATTTGTTGCTAAGGCAGCCAGTCTTACTCAAATGATGTAATCATGTAATCGCAAAAGGAGAATGAACACATTAATTTCAAAGGGCCCCTAGACATGTGTGTGATTACAATTATAGTTCAAATGAATCTTTTACTATTTGCAGTGTTTTTCTATATGGCCAAGTTCCTGGGGAACTATTTGGCCATAGAAATAAGTGTGCTGTCACTGTCAGCATGTGGCTATGCTTGCTTTTTCTTTGCATGAGCAGTTTTCCCAGTTTATTTCCATTTAACATCCACTGAACTTTTCCGAGAGTGAGATGTTGCACAGTGTTTATATTGGTGATCAATGGATGCAGAGTTCTTATCTGGAGTACAGGTACATCTGAAGTACAAGAGTCTATTTCCCAGTACAAAATATCAGGCTTTTATTCAAGTGAAGTCTCAAACCCTTCATTCTTCCACACACAAGATCCACTTAGACAAGCTTAGCCTTGGTTAAAATCATTACTAGCCAACTCGACTGGAGTTAAACTTAGGTCCTCTTTTCACTCGGGCTGGTAATCTACCCACTTTGCAGTGAGGATGCAGGATTAATGTGGTCTAAGACTGCTGCTTTATTATGCTGACTACTGTCATCATATTGCTTTCTTGAACACCCTGTACCTGTCTGCTCTGTCCTTCTGTGGTCTCATATTTCACATTTAGATTGTAAACCATTTGGGACAGGGATCATTTTTTTGCTCCATGTTTGTACAATGCCTAGCATAATGAGACCCTGGTTCATGACTGGGTCTCCTGGGGGGATACAGTAAGCTCAATAATAAATCAGTCAAGTGCTGATAGTCCTCTAGTGCCTTCCCACAGTTGCCTCATTGCCTGCCCCAGGCAGAGGTGTTCTCTCGCCTTTCACTAGAAAAAGACTAAGAGTGGCTGGCTCAGCTCATTGCAATGTAAGGAACCTTGACATATATCCCTGAAGTCCTAATGACACAGACCAGCAGAGAGCAGTACCACTGAGGACAGAGTACCTTGAACACAGGTTTGCACTGTGGCCTCTCACATTCAGATTAGGCTAGGCCAAGTGCTCAAACCAATGACCCAAAAGTCAACTCTGCAAATGAAGAAAGACTGTAGGGCTGTGTCCAGACTAGCATGGATGTGCAGTCTGCAGCACCACATGCTGCACATACAGGCGTTCCCCATGCTGCTACTTTGCAGTGTGGGGGGGGTTCTTGACCCTGGGAACTCCTAGGGCCAAAACACATCTATGATGAAAAAAGTGGGGTGGCACACATGGAGACAGCACATGCCACTCAAAACTGGAGTCTGGCCAGCTAGAGCCATGCTCCAGCTGCTGGCCAGGCTTCCTGCTGTGGCTGAAGCCCCAGGAGGCCCCTAGGATCCCTGGTAAGGCTGCTGAGACCAGCACAGTTGCTGGTCCCAGCCTCTCCTATCCCCATCCAGGGTAACCTGCTGCACACTAGAGCACGCATGGCATGGGTGCCCCTGGGGACAAGTAGCAGTGACACAAGGTGTGCTGCTGCTACTTGTCCTGGGGAAAACAAACATTTGCACTTGTCTGGACATGCCCTAGGAATCTTTGGCACTTGGAATCTAGTTTAATCCATTACCAACATGAATTCATTTGCAAAAGTCAGATCAATACCACCAGAGCATTCTGGGTGTATTAGAAACCAGAGCCAAGCACAATTGTATTTCAGACATTCTTTTCAGTTTGCCAAGGCTGGTTTGCTCTTGTAGGGTTGCTTTTAAAGTCCATTTCAGTGGCTCTAGTGTGATCTTCTTTTACAGAAAGATAGTTCCGGAGG